TGCTACGGGATCTGGATTGCACTGGAAGGACATCGAGGTAGTCAGTAGCGAGGTCATAGAACACTATCGCGTCTGCTTCGCCATGAAAACCTCGGTCCTTCAGTCCTCTCAACACCATGGTGTCAGCGGTGGTTAGGTCCCCGAAGTTTACCACGTCATGCGCAGCAGCACCACCCTTGCGGCGAAGTTTGACATTCTCCATCTTCGCACGCTGACAGTGTGGGCAGTAGGGATTCTTCGGGAGATGCGTGAGCATATGGCGGAGCGTCTTAGCATCTGCACGCCATTCGGCTTCAGTGCGTAGCCCGGAGAGGAAGTTTATCTCGACAATGTCGCCATCGTCTCCCTCCCCTGGGCCAGGAACAGGTAGTGAACGGCTCCCCCTGTTCGGCCTCTCCGGGAAGAGCAACGGTCTCGCATTTGACCTGGAACCACGTCTCGCCCGTCCAAGGGACATCAGATGCTATCGCGTGCTGATCTCTTTCGGACAACTCCCACAGACTATCAACCAACACCTCATGGGTAACCCCATTCCGGTGAATGATTGTTTTCCTGTAATTATTCAGTTGATTGACCCTAACGGGACAATCACCATCAGTCGGCACAAACTTCGCCCTGCGCGGAAGTCGGTGTTCGTTCACAACATGGCCTGATCGCTCAGTTCGCCAGGTATCCTGAGATTTACTCTCGCACGCTAACACAGGGCACCTCGCTGGCTTCAAGCCCACGATATGCCACGCCAGGGGCCGGCATAGCGGGACGTGGTTCAGCATCATCAAGGGTGGGAGAAACGAACTGAGTGTCACCATGAGGAAGGTACGGTACGTTGTTGATGACGTCCAATGTCACCGTGCGACCCGAAGGACACGTGAGAGTAGGCATACAGCCTGCACTCCACGCAAACGAGTACCCCATATCCATACAGCGCTTTCCGACAGAGATGGTGGATGGAGTGGATTCAAGGATGTGTGCCTCAATCACCTCGTCCAGGTTGCCGACATCAGCATCAACACGACCAGCAGCGCGAGTCGCCCTGTTAGCAGTGTGCAGCGCGTGAGTATGTCCGCCTCAGATCACCATGACCGACCAGGTCCATTGGACAACCAGTATCTACCAGCCATCTCACCCCGCTGTATCCAACTGGTGCAGCAACCTTCTAAGTGTATTTCGGCTTTCGGACAACACGATGTCCCCGTACATCTCCAAGGTTGATGTCGATATCGTCATCATTGTCTAAGAGCACTTGGGCATGAACAGCCGCAGCTCTTATCAGAGCACTCTGAACCTCCCTAGCGATTCTCTTACGAGATGGGAACTTGATCGCATTGGGATGGCTGTATCCAGCCTGTCTGCAGCGACTAACAACCCTGCCTGCGTTGTCACTTTCAATTGAAACAACAAACACATCAGGGAGATCAGGGATTTTGACCCTCAGAGGTTCCCTATCGGGGCCCCGCTAAAAGTACTTGCTCCTCCAGGACAGCACAACCTCCGCGTCATCACAGTACCAAAACACTGTCTTGATGTCAGCTCGTCTCGGGAGCCTCCTGAATAAGGTCGCTCGGCGATCACCGGAGTTCACCCCGATATCCTCGATCATGGTCCCATTTGCGTCAACGGTCCTTCTCCAAATGACTTGGTCCAATTTGGGACCTCCACCTGTAGTACCGGAGAAGAACAACGCGTGACGTTCACTCTTCTCCCAACTGCTAACGCAAGCAGACCCACCGGTAGCTGGGGCAACAGCCCACGTAACGGGACACGCCACAACAACACGGTTGGCCTCAGGGTTACGTCCCTGTCCGGCAAAGGCGTTGTGACCAACGTTCTGCCTCTCTCGGGGTCCACGAGGATTCTGCTGGGCAACCTGAATCATGTCAGCCGCGTCATCGACGTGTCCCTCAATATCAGCAAGCTGCGCCATAACTCTGTTGTTCATTCCATTCAGAGTGTGGACGTTGCTTTCGACAGTTGTCACTCTTCGCATCGTGGCATCCAGCGAGTTGCGATATGAAGCGAGCTCACGTCTAATGACGGACTGCGTCTGTTCATTACTCGAGGGAAGGCCGCGAACCTGCCTTCTTATATCCTCGATAACTTGTTGGAGATTTCGCGAACTTGCCTCGTATGCTGCAATACGAGAGTTCGCAGCCTCGACCTTCTCAACAACAATGTCGCGATCTCGACGTTGACGGTGAAAACCACGAGAAAGATCCTGGACTTTCCGATGGATCTCCTCAATCGCCTCACGCCAGTCCTGAGGGGAATCAGGCTCTGCGGGTCTATCGACGACCTGATGCCCCCTTCCACCTCGCAATCTTGACACTTGTTCAGCAAGACCCACATGCTCTCCATGAAGATCACTAATAGATTCGGTGACCCACTTCGCAAGCTTGCCGTGTTTAATTTGGAGTCTGTCGAGCTTCATGTTCAATTCCCTGAAACTCGCATCTGTCCCGCTGCTGGTAGCCCTATCAAACCCCGACGCAGTTGGATCATCGGATCTTTTCCACCGAGAAGCTTCTCTAAATCATTGAGGGTCTGATCTTCAGATGCAGCATGGCTCCTGAGGATAGCCTGACGATTTTCCTGAATGACCTGACGAAGCTGACCCATACCGACCTCGGTGTTTTTAACGGATTCCCGAATTTCACTGGAGAGCAAGTTGATCCTCTGATCCACGATCTCAGCTTGTTCATCGATGGCATGCCTAACAATGGCCCTGCTATCCGGGACGATCTCGCCGGCAAATCGCTGAACTATCATACGCATCCTACCGGCATCAGCTTGAGTCGCAACCTCAGTAGCCAAGCGACTAACCCTGTCCTTCGCCTGCTGATTCTCGTCGCGCCAATCCTTGCGCATGGAACTTACCTGACCATTCAGTAACCTGATTTGGTCAGCAAAAGTGTGGAATGCTTTCGCGACTGAACCAGACACTTCGCCCCTCTCGAGCATTTTCTGGATGTGTAAATCAAACACTTCCTTGGCCCTAGCATCACCTGACTCACCAGAAGAATGGGATCTGAGGGCTGGAGGAGTCGATATCTCGATCCTCTCAGGAACCCTCCCAGCTCTGGTGTGTTTTCTGGGGTCGAGTACAGGACTATCATCGATCCTGGACGGCCTACTCGGAATGGATCCCCTTCCCCGGCTATCGCCAGATCGGGGTTCAACATTCGATGCACGAGATTCAGGAGTAGAGTGGATATGAACGTCAGCGGGATCGAACATCCTCATCCTGCAAAGTTGAACCTGACGGTTTAGGGCTAGCTCTCCTCGCCTTTGACCTATCGGTCTCTACGGTTAAAGGTGACGGCCTCTTCGCCGAAGCACTGCGTTCCCTGGCGGCTGACCCCCATTGGGGAGTGAACTCATTGCTAGACCTTAGTGGTTCGAGGTCGCTGAGATCTCGCCCTAACGGGCTAGCGATCGACGGGCGATCCTCGATTCCGAGTGCACTGGCATGCCTACTGTCTCTCGCACCTGCTTCAATTACTTCGGCAGCCCGCTCAGTGATCCTCGGCGAACCAGTAACCCGGTTCGCGTTCTCGTCTCTCTGATGCAACGGACCTCCAAATGTAATGTTGGGAAAAGGGGGAACATTTGGGGCAGGGTAACATGCGGGAGGACCTATCGGCCCACTTCGGTCATGGATAGCCTCCAAACCCCTAAGAACGTCCCGGCTCTCTCTAGCCCTTTCTCTCTCGCTCCGGGTGTCCCTGTCAACACGAAGGTCCCTTGCAGCTCCACGAGAGAGACTCCTGGGCCTAGCAGCAGCACGGCTCCTTGCACTTCGGCGTGCCAAACTCTCTTCCTCATCACAATGCGGCATAATCTTCATCATCATTGAACTCAAACTTGGCCGTTGAAACAGGATTGGGCCTATCGGCATCAGACTCCTGCTTCATGCTACTGCCCCAGCCTGCGGTTGATTTTAACAGGGCATCGTATCCGATGCCTGCAATCGTCCTCTCCTCGTGCTCATCAAACTGACCTGGATTTTGAGAACCGGTGGATCGACCCGAGATATCTCTCGGAGCCGGAACCATGGTTCCCGGTCCTCGCGGCCTGTCCCCGAGCTAATCCGAGGCCTGCAATTCACCTGGAACAAGAGACCTTGGGGATCGGGTGGGCATGGCCTCCGGGTCGTCCGTATGAGGGCGGGCCATGTTCATCGCCATGCTGATGAAGTCCAAATGTCCGTGTCTGAAACCTGATTCGGAGCCGCCCCTATCGTGGCGAGCTCTTTGTCCTTGCTCATCATCGGTGGCCTGACGGAAAATGCAATCGTCTCCATCGTCAGTGTACCTGCCACGGCTTCTGGGTGTGTCCCTATCGGGATCGTCACCCCTACGGTCCTGACCTGCTGAACCTCATAGTTATAGTCCGGCAAGTCATCACCTGATCGGAGACCACCTAGGATGGCCTCCTCATCCACGACACTCCTATGAGAGCGTGGGGTCGTAGTTGATGGTCTCAAGCGCGTAGGAAAGTCCTACGGCTGATAACCTGTGATTCGGGCACGAGCCTGTGCCCAGGCAATGGGTAAGTTGGGGTAAACAAGCCACAAAAGAAAGGTTCCCCAAAAGCAAACCAATCCCCGGTCCCAAAGATCAGGGTTTCCCACACACCAGAGAACAACAACCAAAAGAACCTTGATCGACGACAGGCCGCACGAATAGTCCCTACCAACCAGGCAGCGGCCCGAGGTCCCTTTCTCCCCCGAGATGCCGTCGGTCGACGCAGGGGTTCGGCGACGCCCATGCGAGGCGCGACGGAACCCACAAAACTTGAGCCAAACATCACAGGTCAGTCACTACCGCGACATCCCTGATGATGAAATGAACCGTGGCTAATCACAAATATGAAAGGGAACAAATGTCTAGAGAAAGGAAGGAAAGCCAAAAAGAAAACACTCTGCGGCAAACGATGAAAAGTCTGCACACCGGAAAGCCAAGGCGAGGGCATGGAATCCGGAAGGCGACTCTGAGACCTGCCTCAAGATGCCCAGCAGCTGGTTGAGGAGCCTTGCCTCAGGCAGCTGCGCCACTTTGGAGCGCTTGCACCGTACCTTGGCAACGGATGGGCGGGGCAAGAAGTGACCTAGTCACGCATGACCTGCAGAGTCAAAGACACCAAAGACACCAAAGACACAATAGACACAATAGACACAATAGACACAAAGAGCCACTTTGCCAGCGGCCATGCGTGTACATGTGCAAGACACGCAGAAACACGGAATGCGAAAAGTGTTGACCATGAGCTTCGGCCTGCAGAAGTTCACTTGCTTCCACGACTTGGCCAAGACGCAACAATGTGCTTGTCTACCATGAGCGGCCGAAAAAAGCGGCGAGTTGGCAGCTGGTCTAGCAAATCGATCATCATCTCAACACATCCTGGGCCGCTCTCACCAACACGAGGTGTGTCAACTCTCTCCCTGGCCCATTCCATGCAGTCTTCAGCTAGGGTGCTCTCCAAGTATGACATCTCCTGCCCGTTCCAAGGTGTGCAAATGCATCCAAAAATCAACCTTTATTCAAGGGGTGCGGATTTATTTTGGGTTTCTTTCCGTTTTGTTTTAGAATTATGTTTTTTCGTTTTTCGTCCGGGCCCGAAAAATGTCGTATTTTACAGCATTTTCTCGCGAAATTGACGCATTTTACACTCGCCCGTCAACATCCCCAGCATCGTTTTCAACATCCCCCGCATGTCCGACCAACATCCCTAATTAGCATCACCAACACATCGTGAGTAACAAAATCCCAAAAGTAGCTGGCGGGTTGACGGGGTCAAAAATAAAATGTTTCAAACAGGAGGGCATTTCAATCCCAGCAAAAAAACAATGAACAACACAGAGCGGGGGGGTTGGGGGGGCTGCCGCCCCCCCCCATGATGGTCGCAGAAGTGATGATTCGAATAGGGGTGCAATTACATCTCTGCAAAAAACTAGGGGTGCAATTAATTAAATCTAGCGGGGGGGTTGGGGGGGGGGGCGGCAGCCCCCCCCATGATGTCGGAAGAAGTGACGATTCAAGTAGGGGTGCGATGATTCAAGAAAGGGTGTGATAGAATTTCAAAGGCAGCGGGAGGATTGGCGGGGGTGGCTTCCTATGATGTTCGAAGAAATGCATACATACAGACATGCATGGACTACCTAAAATGTCGTATTTTGCAGCATTTTCTCGCGAAATTGGACGCTCGAAAAAGTGATGATTCAAACAGGGGTGCAATTCAATCTCTGCCGGGCCAGTATAATGTCGTATTTTACAGCATTTTCTCGCAAAATTGACGCATTTTACACTCGCCCGTTAACATCCCCAGCATCGTTTTCAACATCCCCCGCATGTCCGACCAACATCCCTAGCATCACCAACAAATCGTGTGACGGGGTCAAAGAAATGATGATTCAAGTAGGAGGGCATCTCAATCCGTGCAAAAAACAACAAAAGTAGGGGGGGAGGTTGGAGGGGGGGCGACAGCCCCCCCATGATGTTGTTGGCAAAAGTGATGATTTTGAATAGGGGTGCAATTGGAAATGAAGCAAAATGCATGGAAATGAATGACATGAAAGAAAGGGAACAAAACAGACAAAAAGGGACATGAACCGAAGTGAGTGAAGGGAAAAGAAGATCTTCGGGGGAAAGGGGGGAAAAAGATTTTCTGGGGAGAAGATCCGGGGGGGGAAAAAATGGTAAAAGTAGGGGGCCTGAGTAGTGGAGGGCCACGCCCCGCAAATAAATTGCTTCATACATACCCCCCACCCTACATTTTTTTTCATCTTCCATCTTCTACCCTTATTTGTTTTCATCATTTTTCTACATTCCTTTCTGTCCATCTCATCCGTTTTTTATCATCATTTTTCCAAAATTTTCGCCATCCTTTTCTCCTTTCTCCTCGCCTCATTCATTTCACCATATACCTCTCAAAATGTCATTTCCTCAATCTCCTCACCTCATCCATTTCAAAAAAATAAATTTTGCAAAATATATTGCAAAAAATATTTGTCATCAAAAAAATATTCGAACTGTCTAAAAACGATTTGTCCATTTCTCAGACAAAAAATAGAACAGCAACAACATCACTCTCCTCCTTCGTTTCATCACTTTTATCATATTTTTTTTTGGGGCGTGGTCCGCCTTGTAGGATTTTAGGGGTTTTCTGGGGTTTCTGGGGGTAATCCGTCGTGCCGGCACTTGGTCTTCGTCGTCCTCGTCCTGACTGGGTGCGCTTGGCGTGTTCTTAACAGAAGAGAGAAAGAGAGAGAGAGAGAGAGAGAGAGAGAGAGAGAGAGAGAGAGAGAGAGAGAGAGAGAGAGAGAGAGAGAGAGAGAGAGAGAGAGAGAGAGAGAGAGAGAGAGAGAGAGAGAGAGAGAGAGAGAGAGAGAGAGAGAGAGAGAGAGAGAGAGAGAGAGAGCCATTGCAAACATCGTTGAGTGGTTGAGCTGATGCATGAGTGATTGATGCAAAAAAACTTTCATTTTGTGAGTAGCGATTTAGCGCCCAAGCATCCAATCCCTTGCTTTCAATGGCAAAGTTGTTTGTGGTGTGCCGTCCTGATGGCTTTTTGCCGGTGATTGCTGAAGCCGGTGATGTCATCACACCAGACAAGCTCCAGCAGGACATCTTCAAGCCCAGCGAAGAGCAACTCAACACCATGTCGGTCGATGAGATTAAACAGCTCTACACCAGTCTGGGCTTCAAGCTCAGGAAGGGCACGAGGAAGTCCGAATTTGTGCGCTTTGTTCTTGGAGACTGGGAGAACACCATGGCTGAGGCACGTGTGCGATTTCTCTCCCCAGTTGGAGTTCCAAATAAGCTCATGTTCTTCAAGAGCAGCGCCGGCTTCTTCAAGCCTTTTCTTGTGGCTGGTGGTCAGGTCTTTCGTGAGGAGTATTTCCAGGGCGACATGGAGAACCTTGAGCTCACTGCCCCCATGTTGCATTCCTTGACCAAGTGTCAGCTTGTGAGGCTCTACAGCACCATGGAAGGCGGAGTTCTTGATGCGAAGTATACCAAGCCAGAAATGGTGGCAAGGGTGCTGAGCTTTTGGAACCACAACATCACGCGGTTTCAGGAGAGCGCCTCCGATGATGCCGAGCCTTCCGCAGGAGATGCTTCACCTGACCTTTCTGAAGGTGATGCTAGCAGCGCTTCATCCGACCTCTCCGAAGATGCCACCATTGGCATCCTTGACATCATGGACTTCAACGAGGAGGACTGGTTGACAACACCAGCTGGCAAGGCATACCTCAACAGCCCCGCGTGCTTTGATGACATGCTCACAGTTCGGGTCTTTGACTATGTCGGGGAGCGGTTTTTGTTCAGTGTCGTCACCGACAGGGATGTCACCGGTCAGGGCTTGAAGCGGTCCATCATTGACCACATTGCGTTCATCCAGTCCACGAAGGAAAGCTCTGATGAAGAGCCAATTCTTGGACCGGATGACTTCAAGCTCTCTCGCAAGGCTCGGTTCCAAGACATCCAGCCTGACGATGAGCTCGTTGATGGCAACACCTTCTACATCTGCCTCAAGCTTCGTGGTGGTGCTCCCCGCACCAAAAAGCAAGAGGCAAAGTCCAAGGTCAAATACATGTCCGTGCTGGAGAAAAAGAAGGTTCGGGATGCCAACCTCCAGAACATGAAGCCCTGTGAAATCACCAGCACCCCCGCCTTTGTTGAAAGCAACCGCATCATGGCCAATACTTGGGCACATGGTGAAAAGGATGCGGTGTCAGCCTTTCAGGAGCTCATCAACCACTTGGACATTGACCAGCTTAAGTGTGCTCAGTCCTCAATCGCAAGCAACATGGGTGGCGACAACAATTTCAAGCTGGGCAAGCTTTCAGAGGTGCTCTTCGGTGGCAACATTGACAAAGTCAAGGATGTCAGGGATGTCGCCAGTTCCTTCATGGATTGTGCATCCCTTACCACCAACGCCCTCTTTGAGATGGCGGTCAATCAAGATGACAAGTTTGACATCACCAGTCTCCGCAACATGATTGATAAGATGCTGGTGCGCAAAGAGGGCTTCCAGAGTGGCTACATGTCCGCAGTGAGCCAATCCAAGGCACCGCTACCTGCCCAAGATGTTGCCATGTAAGGGCAGTTCTGCTGGCACACGTGCGTTGATTGTGCCGCTTCGTCACCAAAATCCCTAATTTCACCACCAAAATCCCTAATTTCACCACCAAAATCCCTAATTTCACCACCAAAATCCCTAATTTCACCGCTGACATGGCTGATTTCAAAGGTGAAAGTGGCACATTCGGCAATAGGTTCGCACAGACCCAGATGATGGAAAAATGCGTTTTGTCCCAGCACCATCAGCATTTTTGACCAAGCAGTTTTAAGCTTTTTGTGGGACACCCGACGCCGTGCTAGGTTGATGAGCGAGCACGACAAGCTTGGGTGCGCCCCCATTTTGACTGGGGGCAGGGCGGGCTGGCTTGGGTTTTGGGTTTGCTGGTGGGTCCCTCCCTCTCCGTTTTGTTTTTTCCCGCGCAGGTATCTTCAGCGTCTTCTTCGCCTACGAGACCGAGCCCTACTAGGTAAGGACTTGGTCGGGAGGGCTTTTTTTTTTTTTTCTGGGGCGGGGTATATATATATATATAATATAAGGGGAAACTCTCGCCAATTTTTCCCTGCCCTGTTTGGCAATTGGCGAGAGTTTCCTGATATATCTATATGAATATTGGTGTTGTCTAAATTTGATAAACTATGGATATTCCCCTTAAAATTCATTATTTTCAAATTTTAGAATTCCTATTTTTTACTGTGTTGTCGTTGGATGAACCTAGAAATTTCAAGTTTCAAGCCCAACCCCAAACTCAAAATCCTTAATCCGTCAAACTCACCAAGATTTCACAAATTAATTCACTAGGTATTTTATATAGGTCTTCCTGCTTATGTATTGTTGGATTGTCTCCCCAATTTTCCTTGGTGCCCGATGGCAGTCTCTGTGCTGTTTCAATATGTTTATTATTCCTGATGTTGCCACAATCCTTTTTACATAATTCTCTAGGTTTCCAAGTTGTAATGTTATTCCAGAGCCTAGTGCGCTTTCTGTAAGGCATTCCATATTTACAATAATCAACATCTTTAAAATCAAACTCATCCATAAACTCCTGATGTTTTAATAATCCAGTTTGTGGATTTTCGATTACAAAATATTTAGGATTGAAATATTTGATAATCTCAATAGTTTTTAAGACAATACTATTTGCATATTCGATATTCCTAATTCCCCTAGTTTTTGCTATGCTGTATTCAGTGCATGGGGGACTACTCCAAATAAAATCAAAATGGTTCCTATCAAATTGTTTATAATCCCATTCCAAAATATCACAATTAATATCAGCATTTTTCAAGTCTAATGATATTACATTAAATCCAAGCGACTTTGCTATGGTTCCGACGCTTTTTGTTCCGCTAAATAATTCTAATAAATTCATTTATTAGAATTATTTAGATATTAATTATTCAAATAATACATA